AAGCATCGTTCGGTTAATGATTTTTTATAACTAATGGTTTTTTTAAAATAATTGAACATAGAATTCATTTTATAAAATTGAAACCGAATGATTCTTAGGTTATAAGTTCAATTATTTTTTAATGCTTCCATTTTTTAATGCTACGGTCGTATGAATACTGTATGCTATTTATACCATTGGCTCTGATGGCATTCAGATACGACTTATACTGTATACCTATGACTACAATGTCTATGTATTCCATAATTATTCATACGCCTTATGTACTGTTTATCATCTCGTTTTTTTAATCTATAACTATCATACTATGTCATAATATAATGACATAATCACATACATAGATTAAACCTTTATTTAAATAATTTAATATTAAAGCTATGTATATTAACATAAGTAATTTAATTTCATATAATAATATCAACATAAATATATATATATATATATATACTATATGTTATACGAACTGTATTTATAGTCTATATAATGATTTGTATCTGTGTACCATTAGTATAATAGAATAAGAACATCCATTTTCTTTTGTCCTTGGCCTAAACATCCTGAGTTGTGGCCTCTTAACCAAGCCGTGAATTTTGTCACCCTGGAACATAAATTTTATATTTTAAATGAATATCAGATAAGAAAAGCCAATAGCATGTAGTTTTATAATGATCTTAAACTACCTGAGAGTCAATGAGGACAAACTCTGTGGCAATTTGTATTCCCTGATCACCTTCACCTTGATTGCCCAAGTAGTCTTGGTGTGATCAACATCTCTTAGAAAAGAGTACCATTCCTTGATTTGCTTTCATCGAATGAAAGGTTATGAGAGTGGATGATGCGGTGTGGGATGGAAATTGAACTGCCCGAAGTGCCCTATTTATACTACATTAGAGGCAAACATTACTGCAGTCTCCAGCGGGCATTAACCCTGATAACCAATGGACAAAAATCCATCAATCGATTTTTATTTGAAATCAGATCTCATTGCTGCTTCCATTAATGCCGATGTACTTTAAAGATCTTAATATATATATATATTTGTACTTTAAAGATCTTAATATATATCCCTCTGTAACATTCATATCTTCCCACTTTTCTTTTTTGGACGTAACATTTATATCTTCCCATTTCTAAATCTTCCCGTCATACCCTCAATAATTTAAAAAATAATACACTACTACACCTATTTTTTTTGGATTTATCCTTCATTCCATCACATTATTTCACCATCTTCCCATCATACCCTCAATAATTCATATCCCATTTCACTATTCTTAATCTTACCCACTTTGGAAGTGGGAAGATATATGTGATACGGAGGGAGTATATATATTGTTTGGCTCAAGAAGAAATGAAAGTACACAACATTTAATGCAAATCCCTTTCTGAAAAACCACCCTTTCGATTGACATTTGCTTTTAAAAATTTGCTGCTGCTTTTGCATTAAATGTTCAAAAAGTTTTGAAAAGACACAATGTTACCACATTAAATGCAAAGCCCATGCGGCCTCCCAAAGCAAGAATATTGTTTTTGGCCTCAAACATGACCCGTATTTCTTAGACTCGTATTCTGACCCGATTCCACATTTTTGACCCAGCAGTTTGGGCGGGAATTTGGACTGCTTTTCCACAGCAGTTTGTATATAGAAGGATTGTTCATGTGCCTCATCATGATTTGATTAGTGTCAATTAATTTGCCCTTGTTAAAAAAAGTAATTTAGCACATTAATTTTAAGGCATAAAATTAGAAAATCCTCCCATATTATATGATGTTCCATTAGAAGTGAGTTAATATGGTAGATGCATCAAATGCACCAATCTCACAATGATAAACTAAATATTATGATATTAATGGAAATGATGCAACAATGTCAACAACATGATCTTTATGGAACAATTGTCTCCTCGTGTAACACACCAACATGCTTCAAATGGAGCAATTGTCTTAGCTCCATAATTTTTTCACATTCTACTACATAATACACACTTCATATATTGCAAGTCACATTTGTCTTTGTATTTTTCTTTTTGTGGGGGTGTCGGCAGTAATGTGACATCTGATATTTTATAATTGTGGTCTTATAGGGTGAAATGGTATGTGAAGGACAAATGTCTATATTGTGAGAGTGGCCATAATTCACATGGCATGTCTCACAGAAAATAGAAGCTAAGGTGAAGTGGTATGTAGAGGATAAATTATACCCCCTCCGTCCCAATATAAAAGGCACATTTGCGTTTCTAGACATTTTAAGGGTGAACACTGTTTGGCACTGTTTGGACACTGTTTGACACTGTTTGGCACTGTTTTGCACTATTTTGTTTGCCAAAAAGGGAAATGTGCCTTTTATATTGGGACGGAGGGAGTAATAGTAAAGTACTATTGAAATTTATATCGCAAGAGTGACCATGATTTAAACGTGGGCAAAACAAGAAATATATTTGACAAAATAAATAAATGAGGAGTGTTCTATTGATTATATTATAAAGGTGACATTAGTCTATCTTGCTTTATATGTGTAGTTTTACATATTCAAAGAAAAATAAAGTTAGATGTCTCACTAGTTCAATTTTTAGATTTTGAGAGTTTTTGTGTTACCACCTAATGGAAAATGAGGCAACGGATGATCTGGTTTTCTTTTGGTGATAGAGTGATATGATTAAAAGTTGAGGTGAACTATTGGGAATTTTATTTGTTTATAATTTTCATAAAAGAAAACATATAGAACAACCGTAATCAAATCATTACATAAGCAGTAGAATTATTTTCATCCTACCAATCTTAGATGAAATCATCGGGGTCAATCACTTCATGGATATAACTATCCATGATCTGACCAATCATTTCATAATCTTCGGTCATCACAAATTTGTCGAGTCCCATGTCACGACTCAGTACACAAGAGAGACTGAATTCAACGTTTGATGACTAGATATCTTCAAAGGACACCATGAAGGAGTCATTAATATGCAATGAAGTCATTTTTTGTCGTACTTACTTCATAATAATATATAATGATTATTCATTTGTTGGTCCATTAAATTGTATTTATTAGCACGTTTATGCGTAAATATTCTTTATATTTCTGGACCTACCCCACACCCTATAAGAGAGACATCACATCCTCATTTGGAGGGTGTCTTCTATACGAGCAACTTATCCACTCCTCGACCTTTTGCAATACAAGATCATATGAATAAAGAAAAATATTATGATATCTCGTGTTCTCAACCTTTCACATATGTTATAATTATATTATGAGTTTTATGATACATCTCCATCTAACATTCCAACATTGATGTTGTCTATGAGATTTTCAGAATAAAAGTCATGTGTTCATTAGTTCAAGTAGACCAAATCTCACACTTAAATTCCCATCTATAGGGAGGTATTGAGTCCAATTCATTGAGGAAGTGAGCTTGGGACATTTTTCAAAAATGATGGTCCTCTTCTACTCCCCTCGGGGATACCTAAAGTGATCGTTTCAACTGGTGTTTTGTCTCGTTTTAAAATGATATGATGGGGGTTAACATCTTGCTAAGGATCTGAAGTGTTTTTGGGGAGAGCGATTCTGTGCGTGCATAGATAAACAATGTTAGGAAACTAAAGGATTGTTTGAGCGGCTTGCAGGTTAGTCGCTTGAAAGTCATGTGTGAGTTCTTAAGACCACACGATTAATCTCATGACGTCGGGATGACCTGGTGCTAATAAAATCAATGTATGAGGCTAGTGAATAAAATCATATCAATTCTCATGATGTGTTTAAAAATAAGGAGAAATTATCGTATCGACCTCTACAGTACCACCAATTCTTAATTAGGCCATCATGCATTAGAAATATAGTACCACCAATTCTTAATTAGGCCATCATGCATAAGAAACACCCTACAGGCGACCTTAGTAAACACTCAATTAAAATTTTTAACACATCACAAATATGTTACTAGATCACATACCTCCTCATTCTCTTCTCGTTGTTATGTCATCACAAATTCAATGTCGGATCATCATTACTTCACTACCACATCACCCAAGTATTCTTTGTTTTTTATACATTATACTTTTCATATTTCAATCAACTCGCACTCACCAATATTGCCCCACTCCACCTTAGACAACAACTTGATGTCGACATCAGATTATGATCGTCTTTGGCAATTTTCTAAAAAAATGATTCATGTATAATAATTATGTTTGGCAACATAATAATTATTTTGTCTGGTTTAAATGGCTGAATGGTTGCATCTGCCGAATTATGAAAAAAATGATATTTAAAATATATTTCATTAATTATTTGAAAAGTAGCTCAATAGTCAATTAGTCATATTTAACAATTTCAATTAGGCGATTAAATTTTGGGAAAAATAATTAAAATACCCCAAACTTTCATAGGTAATTAAAATACACCAAACTTTATATAAAAAGTTATTTTAGCACCATGATCATGTATTATTTATTTCAAAAATGCAAATTTGTTGTGTTAATTGCATAATTTAAAATAGCAAATTGAAAATGTTGCAATTATATAGAGTGGGGGGTAATACTATTTATTTTACAATTAAAATTTAGAATGTTAATTGTATCTACATCAATGCTAAAATATTTTAAATTTTAAATTATGAAATTAACACAAAAATTACACCGTAACATTTTTGAAATAAATAATACATGACCATGATGCTAAAATAACTTTTTATGTAAAGTTTGGGGTATTTAAACTATATATGCAAGTTTGGGGTGCTTACCTCACACCCCTTCAATGTTTGGGGTATTTTATTTATTTTTCCCTTAAATTTTTTATGGAGCTTCTCTCTCTAGAGCTCTCGACCTAGGGTTACCCGCCGCCATCGGTTCCGTCGATTGGGGTGTGGCTTTTGATTTCGTCGGATTCCTCTAAGGAATCTCGACGTTGGTCTTTTGCTTGGAAGGCAACTATCAATTAAGTTGGAAGATTTTTCGGCTCTCGCAAGGTAAGTCTCCGACGAGTTTAGGGCGGGAGTCAGGCGGTTTTTGTTCCTCGGCGAGTAGCAGGTTGGTGTGTGGTGCACATCTCAGACAGGTTGCTGATTGCTTAGGAGTGATGGAGGGCGTTTTGGACAAGTATAAACAGATGGGAATTGGAACGGAGGAGGAAGTACTTGATCTGAATGGGGGCGACGAGGAGAAAAGTCCAACGGAGGTGCAGAAATCGGGTTTTCCAGTGATTGGGATGCTGCTCACAGATCGACGGGTAAAGTTTTCAGCCCTTAAGGATCTCATGTTGTCACTTTGGCGGCCAGGGAAGGGGATGTCCTTCAAAGATTTGGGTGAAAAAAGGTATCTCTTTACTTTTAATCATCGTTTTGATATGAATCGAGTTATTGAAGGAGGTCCATGGCAGTTTGAACGAAATTTGCTGTTGTTAAGAGAATTAAAACCAGATGATATTCCACATAAGATTGCCTTAACTGAGGCTGAGTTCTGGATTCAGGTCCATAATGTTCCTTATAGTTTAGTCAACTTAGGGACGACAAGAAAACTAGGTAATTTTATTGGCAAATTTATAAATTATGATGATCCTAAGAACAGGGAGAAACTCGAGCCATATATGAGGGTTAGAGTGTGTTTGAACGTGGAACAACCCATTTCTTCATGTGCGCTTTAGGGGTTTTTATATACTTTTCCTAATTTCATGAATATTATATATGTTTTAACATTGAATATTGATTGTTTTGTTTTATTGTAAGCGATTTGAGGAGTTAATTATTGAAATCTTAGTGTAAATATTCTAGTTTGTTTTTGCCCATAAAGTGTTTGTTGAAATGATTAAATGAACTTTGTGTTCAAATTCAACATTTGTTTCTCCTTTTTTAATTTGTTAATGCACCTTGGTGTTTAATGAGTTTCATATTCTATTTATTTCAAAAGCAAGATTGAGAGAACCTTCTTTTTTACTTAACCCTTAAATAATTGACTCTTTTATTCCATAAAAATGTACTGAAATTTTTTAATTACTATTTTATTTTATTGTTTTAAATTTTAGTTTGGGGACATGCATAAGTATGCAATAAAGAGCAGCATCAGTTTTTTATTAGAGCCTCACTTGGAACACTAATCGACTCATTCTGTTTATCCCACTTACAGTAGAATAATCAAACTAAGTAATAGACTTTGATAAACTTAAAGGTTGTTTGGTGCATGTTATTTGACTGTTTTTTATTGTTAGATTGTATAGTGATTTTTTTGTAGAGTACGCTTGCTTATGTTGTTTGTGGAATTTTGAATAGTCAATGCCATATATGGGTTTATGGGCTTCTAATTTTGCTTGCTTTGATTATATATTTTTTCTAGTTACATACCTAGATGATCTCTTATCTCTTTTCAAACTGGTTTCACCTTTATGTTAGTGATGTTTGTGATAGATTCTCCTAGTTAATAGAAAATCAATTGAGATATTATGTTTTCTAGTTGAGATTATGCTATAGTGTTGTTTGAAAGAAGGTTTCTGAACGGGCATAGACTTCATATGTGAGTTTATGGAGTTCACAAGTGAGTTTTATGGTGCTATACTAGGCTGATGTTTATTACTTCTCAAGTGAGTTCCAATCATAAACTTTGGAACACAAACTTAATGTGTACTTAATATCGTTTAATTTATGCCTCCTTGGCTATGTAACTTTTTTTCTTTTGTAGAGAGAATTAAGAACTATGTGGCTGTGCTGTGGAAGCTTGGATGGATCATCCACAAGACAAATGTGTTGATAACACATGCATTACTTTTAGTTCCACATTGATCTATGAATTAAAAGTTGGGTTGGATGAATTTACTTTGTGTAATCAAACTTTGACCTTTTTGTAATTATCAGTTATAATTAGATACACTTCATGATTTTAGTTGTTTTACTCTGTAATTAGACTTTGATCTTGATGGTTGGCACTTGATCATATCCTCCTTCCAGGGTTATTTGTTAAGTGATATTGTCTATGAACCAAAAACGAAGTGTCTTTCACACGCAATAACTATTAGAGTGGGCTAATGTGCTGCGCGGAGTTGTCTGTGAACCAGACATGGAATGTCTGATTATAGACAATAGCCACTGCAATGGGCAAATGTGCCAAGTACAGATGTCTATGAACCAAATAAAAATTGTCTGGCCACTAGAATGGGTTAATGGGCTAATATGCTAAGTGGAATTGTTTGTGAATTAGACATGAAGTGTCTGGTTACAGACAATGCACACTGGAACAGACTAATGTAGTAAGTGGAAATGTCTGTGAACTTGATATGAAGTGTATGGTCACAAACAATAGCCACGTACTGGAATGGACTAGTGGTCTAATGTGCTAAGTGGAATTGTCTGTGAACCGGACATGAAATGTCTGGCCACAGGCAATACCCATTGGAACGTGCAAGTGTTCTAATTAAAATTGTCTGTCAACGTGACATGAAATGTCTGTTTACAAACAATAACCACTTAAACAAGTTAATTTGTCAAGTGAATGCCATCCAAGAGCAAAACTACAAAAAGTATTAGTCTTTAATACTTTTTTTATGCTTTAGAGGCCTATGAACCAGTCCTTAATTCTGACAATTATTGCCCATGTCTTAGAGAACTTGTTGAATGAGATATTTAACTTTAAGACAATACTCACATTTGCATAATTATATAGAGCATAATTAGTTTTTCCATATATGTTAATTAATGTGATAAAACAACCATTCTTGAGATGCCACTTCTTGCCCTAGTTCATAGATAATTACACTTGGTACATTAACCTATTTTATTGACAATTGCCTGTGGCTGGACATTTCATTTCTGATTCACAGACAATTCCACTTAACCCAGTAGCCATTTAAGTGGTTATTGTCTGTGATCAGGCATTTCATTTCTTGTTAACAGACAATTCAATTAAACATAATAGCCAATTCGTCTTGGCACAAACACCTATTATCCATGTCTTTGAGCACTTTGTGAATGGGGTATTAAAACCAAACACTTAAGAGATGGGATTAAATAATATGGAGACTAAACATTGTTCAAACATGATTATCACCTAATGGGATATTAAAACCAAACACTTAAGAGATGGGATTACAAAGCAAAAGTCTATTGGTAACCCCTAAAATGAGGACATATCCCCTTAAGAAGTTAAGATACAATAAATTAAAATAAAGGGCAAATAAAACGGTGTGAACCAATATACATGACCAATATTTTAACAAACAAGGTCAAAATCTTACTCCGTATTACATAAAGAAAAAACACTCCAACAAATGGATTTTCCTTTTACAACTTGACTGTGATTTGTGATTGCATAAAAAATGGGAATATCAGAATACTAATACATGGATTAGGCTAAATGTCATTTTGATTGTTGTGTTTCATCCTGTGCAGCTAAACAACCTTAGCTTTTAATTGTCCAGAGCGTTACAAGTCACGAGCACACGTTATTGTTGGTTCGTTTCTGGACAAAACTTTTTAATATCCATCAATATCTGCAAAACTTTAGCAAACTTCAGCATAAGCATGCCATAATCACCTTTGCAAAACAAAAAGTAATACTCCATAATATAAAATTGCTGCAATTATAAGGAGTGAATTGTGAAGATGATTGGCTATTTCTTAACTTTTTTGCATCATATGTCCTGATAAACCAAGGATTTTTAGACAAGACTTTTGTACATCTATATGTAAGACACATGATAACTATTAACTTGTATTCCCAATTAGGATTGGTGGGTAAATTATAATGTATAAAATGTACATGTAGTGTTGAAGAGGGCAGGGGAGTAGTGAAGGAATCACTCACTCCATAGTCTGTAATTTTGTAAATCAATAAACAGAAACATTGAACTGGGGTAACCAGAATTAAACAAAATAAATGAGCATAAATAATCAAACACAAGCAATTTAATGAGAACCAAAATCAAGCCAAAAATACTAAAACAAAAGAATAAACATAAACCTTGAGATGGGGTATTCAGAAGAAAATTAAAATAAGTAATGAACACAACCTCAAAAAATAGTAAACAGAAACCTTGAAATGGGATAATGAGAACTAAAGTAAAAGTATTTAATATAAGTAATGAACACAAAACCAAAACAGGAGTGATGTTATGCTAACTATTAAGTGACTTCAGCATCAATTAGGAAGAGAAATGGTGTAATGCAATTGAGCAATGATTCACCAAGCCCTAGTTCCAATTAATATTGAGTTCAAACTATCAAGGACAGGAACTCTAGGTATGTATTAGAATTTCCATAATGCATAAATCTGAAAAAACAAATGAAACAATTATGGAGTATTTAAACTTTTTTTGCACTCAAGTATAAATGGTGCGAGCAAAAATTTCATCAATGTTTTCGGTTAAGACTTAGGAAGTAGACCTTACCAAGCATACTCTCGTTGATAAGAATTACGGACTAATATTGAACCACATAAAATGAAAATAAGACGTTTTTGTTCAAATATGTAAAAAAACAAGCATTGAATTTTCAAATGGCTTAAAAATTCAGAATATTGAATTATTTCTTACCGGCAGAGGGTTTTTTCTTCTTGGAAACTAGTGGGGGTCATCAGAGGGTGTGTTTCTCGTCGACTCACAATTCCTGCAAGGGTTAACAGTGAGAAGCCAACAAATGTTGGATGATAAAAGAAATAACGAGAATTTGGCCAGAAATTTCATTTGAGAACAAAACTGACAAGTTTATGAATGAATTAGGGGGAATTTATTATCTCATGAGTTAGGGTTAAGGAGGTTTAATTAGAGGAAGATGAAGGAGAAATGAATACATGGTGGCTGTGGAAATGAACGATCGAATCTGGCTTTGTCGATGTTGTCATCCCGTTTTCTACAAAAAAAAAGGAAAAAAAAAAGATAAGGGATGAGAGGTGGTAATTTCAGGAGAGGGGGGACGGTTTGTAGATATCGTGGAACAATATATCAAGTGGGGGAGGAGTTTTTGTGGAGGAGGAGGGTTACGTTCACAGAAGGGTGAAAGATTTGGAGAGGGGGAAGGTTTATTACAGATTATGGGAGAAAGCTGGAGAAGAGGAAGAGGGATTTTCGTGGAAGAGGATAGTGGGAGATGAGAGAAAGGAGGGTGAAATTGTGAAAAGGAAAATGAGGGAACTGAATGGTAAAAGGAAAAGATGAAAAAAGTTATATATAGTGTGTACAAAACGTGTACTACTCATGTACATATAGCATTTTTGTAAAGTATAAACCGACATCTCTTCTTGTGCCATATTTCGCAGGACTCTGCCAGCTCTATAAATGCGCAGTCCATTGCAGCGGCGGAAATGAAAGACACGGCGCCGGCGCTTCCTCTTCTCTTCCTTCGACCAGTTCGACGCGGCGTTGTTCTCTTTTCCACTTGAATTTGACTGCGACCTCAAAATTCTTCCTGGCGCGGCTTGATAATTCTAGTGCCTGTACTTGACTACTGGCAAGAGTTAATGGCGGCGAAGGCGTCTGAATCGCTGATCTGCAAGGGTTTGATGGAGGAGGTGCAGCGATGGGGGGCTATGAAGCAGACGGGTGTCAGCCTGAGGTACATGATGGAGTTCGGGTCAAGACCCACCGACCGGAATTTGCTGATCTCCTCCCAGTTCCTGCACAAAGAGCTCCCAATTCGGATTGCACGGCGTGCTATTGACCTACAAACTCTTCCCTATGGGCTCTCTCTAAAACCCGCCGTTCTCAAGGTTTGAAATTGGAGCCCTATTTATATATTCTCTGTGCCATTAATGTGATTTGACTTGTCGGCGGTCAGCCTACACATGCTGAATTAGACAACTCATTTTATGCTCCCAGTTTACTCCAATTTTTGTTATAGAATCTTGTCATCCCTGTTATTTCAGTTTGCTCTTTTCTTCCTCTAGCAATGGCTGATTTCGGACTTCCAGAGAATTTTTGGTTGATAAAAGCAGTATATTCATGCAGTTTTTTAAAGCATCCTTGTTAAACTGTTCAACTTTTGTATTTCCAAAAATAAGGGGATAACTGAATGGTCCCTGAGAGTTGAACTTAATTCTAGTATCCTACTCGTCCTTTTGCTTTATCTTTGTTCTGTTTCTTTCTTTCTTTCATAGGTGCGGGATTGGTATGTGGAGTCTTTCCGTGACCTTAGATCCTTCCCTGACATAAAGGATAAAAGTGATGAGTTGGAATTCACACAAATGATCAAGATGATCAAGGTGAGGCATAACAATGTTGTTCCAATGATGGCTTTGGGCGTTCAACAGCTTAAGAAGGATCTTAATCCTAAAGTTGTGTATGAGGATCTAAACGAAATTCACCAGTTCCTGGACCGCTTCTACATGTCAAGAATTGGGATTCGTATGCTTATTGGTTAGTCTAGCACTTAATAAAATCTGTCTTCATGAAATGGATTTTCAATACAGAGATATTTTTAGACTATTTCGTGATTTATTCACACCCAGGACAGCATGTGGCCTTGCATGACCCAAATCCTCCTCCTGATTGTATTGGCTACATACATACGAAAATGTCTCCTGTTGAGGTTGCACGGAATGCCAGTGAGGATGCCCGTTCTATTTGCCTTCGCGAGTATGGCAGTTCCCCTGAAGTTAGCATTTACGGGGACCCCAGTTTTACTTTCCCGTAAGACAGTTGTTTGTGATGTTTCATCTTCATCCATACAGTTTATTGTATTTACTGTCTTTAGTATTCATGTAACCTTCATCGATCAAAATTCTATCCAAATTAGAAAGATATTTTATCATATCCTGATTGTTGACATAAGGATTAAAATTGCATCTTTACATATGTCTTCTCGGTTTTGCATTTCATTATTTCGGCTTTCATTTTTTTTAAAAACAGGTATGTGCCAACACATCTACATTTGATGGTGTTTGAATTGGTTAAGAACTCCTTGCGTGCTGTCCAAGAAAAATATATGGAATCAGACAAAGTTTCACCTCCCATTCGAATAATAGTAGCTGATGGTTTGGAGGATGTTACCATCAAGGTAGGCTACTTTTAAAGTTTTATTAGGAAAAAAATCTGATTACCGTTTGAGATGGAGACTTGAATTTTTTCCTGTTATTTTTCATATACAAAAGAAATTCTAACGAATAATGAGTCTGAAGGAGGTAGTTGCATTACATCCTATTTAGTACTGCCTAAAATGGGTGAAGTGACTTAATTGGCCGAATCATGAAAAATTGTGGCTAAAATCATGAAATGGCTGAATCACTGAATATGCTAAATATTTGTTGCAAATTTACTTTAAATAATCTAACAAAATTAGTATCTGAAAATGAGGGCTGAAGTGACATAAATAAAATTCATTTTTCATTAATTTCAAGTTTCGACCATTCCAACAAAAAAAGTAACTTCATCACTACTTTTCTCATTGAATTACTGTAGTAGATGGTACGCAGTATAAGTTAGTATTTGGTGAAAAGTCTTGCTCATAAGCCATAAGGCTAACATACACAAAAATGCCAACTTTACGTCCGGATCTTTATCTTTCAATCCATTGCTTGACTGTTTTAATTTTTCCTGCAGGTCTCAGATGAAGGAGGTGGAATTCGAAGAAGTGGCCTCCCTAAAATCTTTACATATCTCTACAGCACTGCAAAGAACCCATTAGATGAGCATTCAGATCTTGGTACTGCTGATGAGGCAACCATGTCCACATTAGCTGGATACGGGTATGGGCTACCAATAAGTCGCTTATATGCTCGCTATTTTGGTGGAGACCTGCAAATGATTTCTATGGAAGGATACGGTATGTTTTAGCACCATGAATCGTGATGTTTCTTCAGACTTTAGCATAATTTATTGCACCATAAGGAATAATGACTTCAATTTTTCTGTTAATAATTGTGAATTCCTTGGGGCACATTTTGTGTGGGTAAAAATGAGATGCAATGACTGGTGAAATAATTGAATCAGCCCAATTGTCTAAAAATGTACCCTGTACCAACTACCAAGTATTAAGTTTTTAAACCAATTAGTTAATGAAATATTAAGTTATGAACTTAAGCTATGTGGCTTGAGGGGCCTTCGTTTTCATTGCAGATATTGCAGTAAAAAGTGACTTCTACAATACATTTTTATAAACATATATCGATTCAGCTAATATAGTACAATACCTTAGTATTTGGTTTAAACTCTAGCTGATAAGCCATATTAGTAATGAACCAAATGGCCACTTAGTCCAAATAATATCTTGACCAGCATAAAGTTTTATCTTATACATCCATCTAATAGAAGCTTCATTGCTGTATAATGGGCCAGTCACAAGGTAATTGGTAGGTTGGGGTTTAATTCGTAGTCATATCTTATTATTCAAATAGGCGCCATGCCATTTAAGTGGGAATTGGGTTGAAGTTTGTAACCAAACTCCTAAACGAGAGTTAATTGGAGCTATGGTGAGATTTTACAACAATAAATATCTTTGGAAGGGGGCCACATATTTCTTTCCAAAAAAGGAAGAAGACACTTATTTTGAGACAAAATAAAAAGGAGAGTAAGACAGATAAAATGGAAAGGCCGGATGGATAGTATGTTATTTAACAAATTTATTTTCAAATATAAAATAAAAGTTGTTGCAGCTTAAATGTCAAAGAAAAAATTAATTAAATAAATATAAAAGTAATAGGAATTTTGTTGAATACAAAAAGCACCTCAAACACATACGTTTTTTAATAATTTATTTAACATCCTCACAAAGTTTCATAAAAGATTTTCCATAGGGAACCACCTCAAACGGCGAATTCCGCATGGCGTTTCCTGTCAGATATGAACTACCCTAATTTGGATGTTGTTGTTGTAAATATCTTTGAAAAATTATTGGGATGTGAATACTATATTTTATTTTAGGGATAACTAGCCTACAACCCCCCCAACCCCTCTTCTGCTTATGCAGTAAAACTATTTTACAGGGACAGATGCTTACCTTCACTTGTCAAGGCTTGGAGATTCACAAGAGCCATTGCCTTGAGTGCTGCTGCCATTTGGAGATTTATTAAAGCTTATCAATTTAAGTGCTGTAAATATTGCCAATCAAAGAAGTTGCAACCCTTGCCCATATTAAAATACAATTTGCTGCAATTACCAATTTCCTATTTATTGTAGCAGTTGATGCTGCCTGTCTTTGGGGGCAGACAAGGTTCTGGTTCTGGTTCTGAACGGAAATGGAAATATCTGGTTTTAAACCGGAAGCCGCACTGCGGGGTGGTTTTGGAACATGGACAAGTACACCCAGATTGGCCAAGTTAGATTAGCACGTGAAATAAGAAAGTAAAAAGTGAATGCTGTGTAATATTGTGCATATGAGAGAAATAATATCAATCACAAACAAGTGACGAAGTATTTGAGCAACCAAACAAGTCAGGATCACAAAATTTAGTGAGAGGGAATAACATGTTGCTTAGTGATCTGTTTACAAGATTTCAAAAATAACTAAAAAAAACTTGATATTTTGGTTTTGAATTGACTGAACAGTATTTGAATGGATTAATTATCAAGCCACTGTCTTGACATTTTATAGACTTGAGATTATACACCATTTTTTTGCGAGACGTCTTAAACAATTTAGAATTAGGAAAAGGCCCAAAGGATATACCAAGTATATATTTTGTAATTTTATACTACCAGTTTATAAATTGTGATAAATTACTGCTATCATAATAATACCATTTGAAAATTATAATGTTATCATCTGAGCATTTTTATTCAATGACAAATACGGAGTAGTAAAATTACTCATGAGGTACATAACCCCAAACATTACTGCTAAGTGCTAACACTGTTTTACAGCTGAGTGATGATTGAATGTTTACCGATAAAAAATGAAATCCGAAATTTGTTTAACTTCAAAAGAGTGATGAAATGACACTTCAATCATTTATAAATTATGAGTGATGATTGAATGTTTACCGATAAAAAATGAAATCTGAAATTTGTTTAACTTCAAAAGAGTGATGAAATGACACTTCAATCATTTATAAATTACGTAGTATATGAAAAATATTGTTAATTTTATTGTTATTGTTATGGTCATGATTATGTTTATTGTTAGCGGTCATGCTATTATGAAAAATATTGTTAATTTTATTGTTATTGTTAGCGGCAGCAATCATGCTATTATTATCGTTATCGTTGCTTGAGAATATAATGGAATAAAAAAATGATTCACTAAACTGTCTGCACTTCTTTGTTATGAAGCAGTAGTCAGCTCATGTAATTTTGGGCAATTGGACGCGATTTTAACTATAAGTCATCCGGAAATAGTCTATTTCTGTGTTTTTGTGCAGGGGCAAAACTACGTACATCCTACCCCTACCCCACTGTAGGTGGAAGCCTTTACAGCAATGGGGTAATGATGATGAAAAATATTATTAAAAAAGCAGAACTAAGTTTAAAAATGTTAGATAAGTTAAGCACATAAAGGAGAATTGGTACAAGCGCAATGAAAGCTAACTAAAACAAAAAATGTGAGGGGATATGACAATTTAACGGTAAAATCAAAATTCGATTGTTTGAATGAAGTAAATTCACATCAGAGCAAAGGCCATAAGCAACAATGGTTCTACAGGTTCGTCTCCACTAATCCAACGTTAAGCCCTTCACCAATGTTGAAGCTCATCAGACCAACAAATAAAGTGTAGCTAGGTCTCTCCAATTATAGAGTTACTATAGGATTGCCGCTGCGAGTGACAACAAAAACCATCATTGCCTCCTTTGCTTTGCACGCTTCCTCGAATGCTTGCCTTGGTGCTTCCACTTGCTTACTACCCCTGGCCGCTTTTGCTCTTCAATTTCACGAACCTTGCGCTTCCTGAGGACAATATTTGAAAAGCATTATTAGGCAAGATCAAGTTGACTAGCTTTGTTTCATGGTGTGGTACTGTGGTACATGGGGAACATGATGGTAAATTGCAATTTGCAAATGAGAATAAAAGTGCTTGTATGGTGGTGACACCTTGTTTCTATTTATCAATAAGGTTCAGTATTATTACACCAAGCACAAATTTATTTCATTGTGTTGGCTTGATAATGAAAAAGTAGTGCAGAAGGTACTTTTTTGCCAATATAACTGAAACTGATGTAAATGAGTCTTTTACCCTCATTTTAAAATACAATCTTCTTTAATGAATTGATAAAGCGTATTTTAAGTATATTTTCCATGATTAAGAAGTTCATCCATAATTTCAACAAATTCCATCACTTCAGTGATCTCAGCAACGTTTTTGCTCATACTAAATGGGCTTAAAGAGCCTTTTAAGTAAACCAGTTTTTTCAAATTAGCTGAATTAGCTAAAAATACATTAACAATAATTTTAGGAGTGCTTTTTAAAAATGATTCCCTGACATGAAATTAAAAGTCTCATTTGCTTTCAGCTCAGCAAAAAAAAGTAAAATCTGCATTACTTTTTCAATCATCGGCCAATTCAACTAGGGCAGACAATTACGTTAGTATTTTAAAGATTTGATGATTATGTTTAGAACTCCTCATTCCCTTCTTACCTATATTGCGCCAACTTTGAATCAGAAATTAATTCATCTGCAAGAGTTGCCTTCCTCTCCTTCTTAGAAAGTCTACTGGAATAGAACTCTGATGCAGGCTCTACCACAACACCCACCTGATCCAGCAAACATACAACTTACTTTTAAATGCTAAAATAAACCACATGAAAAGGAAAAACTGCCACATGATAGAATATAATACGTAATAATTTAAGTATTTAACCAATCTCTTGCCTGGAAATACTTGGGGAGTTCTTTAGATTTTGAACTGCCTTTCTTGTAATGTCTCTTTGGATCAAAAGCATCCCTCATCTGCAGCAAGCCAACGACACAAAAACTCTCAGAGATCAACAAAATGATCCAAGAAACAACTGGAGTCATCTCATTCATTCATTTCTTTAAGATGTCCAGAAAGGGGGATGAAATATCTATATTACAAAGGTGAAAGTGTGATTTCTTTGGAAAGGGGATGTCTATAACTAAAGTGATACTCATATTACTGAGACAGGTTTAGGTACCATCAGTAAAGTATAGTAGTGCACAGACAATCCAAACTAATTTACGAAAGTAGAAGCAAAATGCAAACTGTATCATTCCCCAAATGCAAAGACTATATAGTTTCATAGGGTGCACACTCACATATGAGCTTCAAGAAGAGAATGAAAAAGAGAAGTCACGAGTTGATGAAATAATCAAATAGGAAAGTGATAATTTAAATCAATATATACATCAGACGGCTTTCACGTTCCATCTTTTGTCTTGCATCTCGAGGGCCGAGCTCTTAGCTCCTCGATTAAACAAGAAACCACACATTTGCTAACCAAATACAGTTTCGGATATCCTCTGAAGTCATCTACTCATCATTCTAGCAACAACAACATCCAAACCTTAGTCCCAAAAGAATTTGGAGTCAGCTAACATGAATCGATACATGATATCAGAGCCAATAGGGAAAGATAAATAAAAAAGAAAAAAGACAAAGCATGATAAAAGAGATAAAAAAAAATACTCCCTCCGTATTTTTTTGTTTGGTACACTTTTCTTTTTTGGATGTATTCAAAAATTTGCTACATTTTCCTTTTTTGGTAAGTTTTTCCTTTAAAAATACTCAACTACCCTTACTTTTTCTACATTTTATCTTCTCTTTCATACTTTTCCACCATCTCTCCTACTTTTTCTACACTATTCATTACCCATATTATTTCACTCTTAAAAAATGTGCCAACACATATTGTAGCAAACTAAAAAACACGGAGGGAGTATAAAATAGAGATGAGATATACATAAAAGTGATAAGATAAAAATAATAAAATACTTCGTATATATATGTGTGTGTATATATATATAAATATAAAAGAATAGGAAAAAATATAAGAAAAGAAAAAGAAGATAAAGGGAAAAAAGAGATCAATCCGCCACACGAATACCCGCCCCCACTTTGCTCTCTCTAATGTCATATTCTCATCCAGCCCAGAAAAAGCATATCATTCCTCACTCCTCTAATCCACATATGTCTGGGTCTTTCCTCTCCCTATCTTTTCCCCATTTGTTCTCCACACCTCTCAATTTGTTTAACAGGCGCATCACTCGGTCTTCTACACACGACCAACCCACCTCGATCGAGACTCTCGCATCTTATCTTCAATATGTGTTATTCTCACCTTTTGTTTGATTGTCTCATTCATCAAACAATCTTTTCTTATATGTTCACACATCCAACGCAACATGCACATCACGAAGGTGTACTTCTAACCCGCCATGTAGGTAGTATTCAAATCCAATAGCCGAGATGACATATATTTGTAGGGCCAGAAATTTTAATGTTACTTCTATGGTAGACCTTTAGGATCCATATTTCCAAAAGGAACACATCTTTTAAAGATAAAGGGACTATGAGTGCTCTTCAATAAAATGTACTCTGTATATATCTCTGGCTTATGTTTCCTCATTATCAAACATACAAGCAATGAATACATATTCATTTAATTAACATGAATTAAAAATATGCTAACATACAATTAAAATGAATAAATAAGCTACGGAATACCTGTGAATCAGTTTGACTCAACATTTTTACCAAAGTACAGTTAAAAATGATTAAATTAGCCTCAACTGATAACCCAAATGCCTATAATCAGTTTGACTCGTGACTTTTACCCTAGAGGCCTAGACAAGGCACCGTAAAGTTTTAAACAATCAAGTTAAAAATCGAGTCAATCTGCAAGACTGCAACTATTGATGCTGTTACAGTGCACTACACACAGACATATTTCAATGTAATAATTCTAGCCTGAAAGAAATTCCCTTTAAGTTATCATCATATAAATAATAACAAGGGTCATAATATACATTAAGAGAACTCATCAAATCAATACTACCCTATTAAGCACATAAAAGAAAAAGAGAAGGCACCTTCAATAACTGCAGATCCCTTTTTAGCTCCGGAGTAAGGGTTGGTGCAGGCATGTCAAACCTGTTGCAAATACGCGACCATCCAAAGCGGAGAATCAGACACTGTTGAATATATTCCTAATCATAATCACTAATGAGCAAAAAAAGAAGGGAGATAATAGGTTACCAGCTTTTCCCAGCAGTGTCCTTGACCTCTTTGCGGCGTAACAAGCTGAGCTTTTTGGGATCTCTGGGCGGCACGAAGAGACCATCGACGAGCTCGGAACGGGGCATGTAAAGGGCGGTGCTAGTTTCAAGGGGATCGGAGTGGTGGCTCTTCTGCTTGTCAGCTACTGGAAGTCCAGGCAGCTTCGGCTCCCACGTTAGCCCTATTAAGGGCTTCGGTTCCGCCATAGTTTGCCTATCTGCAAGGATTTGGTGGCAGGACTGATTTAGGGCTCGGAAGACGCTATAATACTGTCCTCTGTATAATCCTCTGTATCTGCAAGGATTTTCGAAAGTTTGGGGCGTCAAACAAGTAAACAACATATTGAAGGACTTAAAGGTTAATTCTTAGACCCTTACATTAATGAAAATATCATAAAAGCCCCTAAATTTAAAAAAGAATACAATAATAATTGGGTAAACGACCTAAAGTATTTAATTTAAGTTTTCTTACATTAAACTATCGTATTTGTTTAACAACTTTAATTTAAGTTTTCTTACATTAAAGTAAAAAAAAATTATATATTTTTTCTTTACTTTTACATCAACAAAATAACTCAATCTAATCACTTCACCTAAAACTTCATACGTTTCAAGAAACGTAGGTTTGAGAAAGGAAGACTCACTGAGAAACTCATTTATCAGTCGATTTTGATATTATCAAACGAGTTCTCAGTATGTTATTCAAAACAATTACAATAACTTTATAGAAATCATATTAGTGTAAGAAATAGTTCTCAAGTTCCTATCAATCTATCAAGAGGGTTGTGATCATATTTGGTATAAGAGAAATAATATATGATTAGGTAGTTTTAAAAGTTTTATTACTTTTAAATGCTTTGCAATTCTTTAACAACATCAGCCATCTCACCAATGAGGGGATGATATTAAGGGAGTGTTTGCAACAGCTTAAAAAAACACTTCCCAACTTTTGGCTTAAAAAAACACTTATTTACCAAACACTATCAATTTTTACTTTTTCTCGGCTTGCGTGTGAAAAGTGTTTTCCCCTTTTTATTACAAAAAAAACATTTATTTTACCAAACACTACCAACTTTTACTTTTCAAAAGCACTTTTTTCTCAAACACTATCAACTTTTACTACTAATCACGTTTTCTTTACATCTCCAAAAATGTTTTTTTTAAGCAGAAACAGTTGCAAACACTCCCTTAGACATCTTATGTTCATTTAATTATGTATTTGTCTATAATAGTTATCACCAATAATAAAATTATGTGATCTATATTAAGCCAATAATATTACCAATGATATTTGTGTATTAAGCCATTCTCATACTTTCTTTTAAACATTCTTAAACACATTTAAAGTGATCCTATATTACTTTAATTGTGCATAGTGAGCTATTTCTAAATTATAACTAAAGTGTACGTGACTATTGTCAAGTGTTGTGTAATAGTATTATTACTATGGTTAATTAGTTGTGTAATAAATAGTATGAGACATGGAGAAGTCTACATATCCATCACTTTTTCATAACAAATTCAATGCATTTTCTTAGTTTTTCTTTTGAGCATTTACTCTACCCAAAAGTAGAATGTCTTTTGTTTCAGTTTCTTTAGCTTGCTTTTTTTTAGCTAGGGACGCTGATCACTCTACCTAAATGCAGCCATGAATTAGTCTTGGAACAAAAAAAATGAAGGACATTTGAGCTATTATTATTTATTTGTAATTCCATGTTGATTGTTTAGATTTCAAAAGAAATGTAGTTAAAAACAAAAAATGGTCTGTTGACAATTTTCTCTGTTTGACAATTTAAAAACAAACAAAATACTAAGTAATGAAAATGAGGGTTTCTTGGATTAACTCATTGGTTTAATAAAAATACATAACTTAATATTTTATTAACTAATTGGTTTAAAAAACTACATATAGAACCAAACATTTTATAACACACTAGATTATCATTTAATTTCTTGAATTGTTTTGCATTTTGTGGATCCCAAGGATCAGTTCACATGTATGTATAATGTATATATTGTATATAAAATCATTGCCACTTCGAATGACACTTTTACACTCTTCCAAGTTTACAAATAATTCTTTTTTTATGAATGTTCCAAAAAGAAGTTCTTATTTCTATAAAAGGAAACCACTTTAGCAAAAAATTTCAACTACCCTTACTTTTTATTTACTTTTTATTTTGATTGACATAAAGCAAGAATACACTTGGAAAGTCAAAGCAAAGTTCTATCTTACATAAATATGTGTATATGTCAAACTAAGAACTTCATTTTGGAACAGAGGGTGTATTTATTTATATCATTATCCATTTTTAAAGTTGAACTTTCTTCACTATTTAGTTTCGAATTTTATTGGCAAAGAGTATTCAACGATTGATGATTTTCACCAATAGCGCTTCATCATATTCATGGTTCATATTTGAAAGTTATAAAATCTTGATAAGTACGGTTTAAGTCAATTGTAATGAAGCCCATTTTAACATCTCTAAGTGGTGCTCTAGAGTTTATCCAATTTACTTGATTGAAAGTACTAGGTAATTTATCTTGAGAGTTCCATTTCATCTATATGTAACTCCTTTTCTGAATATTTTATAACCTCAAATGAAGTAATTTTCTTGGTCAACTATTATTTTGGTGTACTTTTTCACATATTATAATTTTTTATATGCTAAACACCAACATCCTTAATTGGGATGAGTTTCAAACATGTGAGCTACTCATTGGGAGTGTCACAGTGATCTCATAAAACCATAAGGTGCTTGGCGAAATCGAAATACCGTTTTATGAGCGATTATTTCTATTTGTTTTCTTTTTAATTTATCAAATAGTTCTCCAAAGTAGGTTCTTCAACTTTTTGCATATCCATTTATTATCATTTGAGAAGGATAGTAATTTAATTGTCATAATTAATTTATATTTTAGTTCTTACTGAAACTTCACATTTATATAGTCATTTTCAGTGTGACCATCCTGTATTTTTTGTTTTAAGCATTGAAAGACTTTGTTTTATATGTAAAAAGACTAATTTACTATCATTTTTAATTTACATATAAAACAGTTAACCCGTGTGGATGTACGGATACTGTACTAGTTATATTAGATAATAGAGATAAATTTCGAAATATGGATAAAAATGTTTGAGAAATTCAAAATAGGAGCTCAATGTAACATTTTCCTAAATAAGATGTACGGAAAGTACGTCATCTTGACGTTATCAAACTTTAAATATGATAATCAAAAGTTTCAGCATCTTCCAAGTATAAAAGTAATCAATCATACTATCTATTTAGATAATAAAAATATATGTCTTATTTTGAAATGTTAAATACTTTAGATACTACGTAGTATTTAATTTGTCAGCCATTGGTAAATCAATGGGATTAAAATAACATCCTTCTCAAATGCACATAAACAACACATTTTGATATCAGTAACACAATTGATTATCAACCTCCATTTATTTTTACTCCCTACCTTGATGGACATCCATGAATATCTTCCATGCAAGACCCTATAAAAAGACCAGTCAACAATCTAAACATAATAATTAAAAATAGAAAAAATAAATAAATAAATAAAACATGCAGGGTGGCATACTCAGAGCCTCTATTCTCCTCATTGCTGCTGCGGCGGCGATGAGCGTCGCCACCGTGGAGGCGGAAGTTAACGGCAGCGAAAGCGGCCACCTCTCCACGAGCTCGAAGCTTCTGACCGATCTTTCAATGGCTGCCCTGAACAGCCCGGCGGTGGGTTTGTTGGATCCTTTAGGCATTACGAAACAGAGCAGAGATAACATCGTCAAAGCCGCCCTCCGGCTGCCCCAGCCGAAGGACTACATCGCGGCCGCCATCCGCCTTTCTCTGCAGCAGTTTAAGAATGTCATTAACGGAGTCGCGGATTTCGCCAAACTAGCCGATGATTCTTTGAACCGGATGGCCATTGACGATTGCCGGGAGTTGATGAATTACGCCATTGAAGAGCTGCAGGATTCCATGACCTCCGTTGACGAGTGCCCTCTCCTGTCACTGGTCCAACGCCTGAGCGACCTGAAAAACTGGTTGAGCGCCGTCCTGTCTTATTCCAATACCTGCATAGATGGTTTCACCAAGCCTGATCTTCAGTCCGGCATTAATGGCGTCCTGCAGAACAGCATCGCTCATACCGGGCAAGCGCTTTCCATCGTCTCCGCCATTCCTCAAATCCTCACCAGTTTAAACCCACCTCAAAACCAAGCCGTTTCCGCCAGAAAAGGGTATCCCGCCGCTGCTGCCGCTTCCTCTGGCAGCGGCTCCGCCGCCGCCGCCGCTTCCTCTTCCGGCAATGATGCGTCCTCCGGGGAAACAGAGAGTAATGATTCATCGTCATTTTCCTCCTCCGGAGAGGAAAGAAGAGCGTCTAGCTCGGATAGGGAGCACTCCTTTTCCTCCTCCTCCTCCGGGGAGTCAACCATGGTCGGCGGGGAAGAGGACACGGCGAGAAACAGGAGATCGCTCAAGGGAGTTCATTTTCCGGCGTGGATGAAAAAGTCAGACCGCAAAATGCTGATGGCCAGGAACGTCGGCGGGCGCGACGGACAGGTCCGGGGGAGCGTCAGCGTGCAGCCGAACGTGGTGGTGGCGAAAGACGGCAGCGGGCAGTACACAAACATTGCGGATGCCCTGAAAGCTTACAATCCGGGACCAGAAGGAAATGGTACGACAAGATACATTATATACGTTAAAGCCGGAGTTTACGATGAGGACGTTCTGATCACAAGGAAACAACCTAATATTTTCATGTACGGCGACGGCCCTACAAAGACCATCGTCACCGGCAAGAAATGCAACCGTGACGGCGTTTCCACATTCCGAACTGCGCCTTTCGGTACGTTACAGATACTCCATTGCATTAAGAACGTTTTCATATAAAAGCAAATATATTTTCAATTTATCATAACATACTTTCTATCCTTAAACTTTGTAGCTGTGGTTGGGAAGGGATTCATATGCAAAGACATGGGGTTTGAGAACACGGCTGGGCCGGAGGGGCACCAAGCGGTGGCGCTGAGGGTACAATCCGACATGTCGGCATTCTATAATTGTAGAATGGACGGATATCAAGACACTCTGTACACGCAAACCCACAGACAATTCTATAGCAACTGCATTATCACCGGCACCGTTGATTTCATTTTCGGAGACGCTGCGGCAGTCATCCAGAATTCGGTGATCATAGTGAGGAAGCCGATGGACAACCAGCAAAATAGTGTGACAGCGCACGGACGGACGCACATGGCAGAACCCACCGGGCTAGTTATCCAGAACTGTCAGATCATCGCTGAGGATACTCTTGAGGCAAAAAAGGTTGACATCCCATCGTACTTGGGCCGACCATGGAAGCCGTACTCGAGGACGGTGATACTCCATTCCACGATTGGGGATTTCATCAAGCCAGAAGGGTGGATGCCTTGGGCCGGAGACATTGGTCTGGACACTTGCTATTATGCAGAGTTCGGGAACCGCGGCCCAGGAGCTGATACGTCCAATAGGGTGAACTGGAAGGGTTACCATGTCCTTGCAAACGCTAATGATGCTACGAGATTTACCGTTGAACGGTTTATTCAAGGCAGCCACTGGCTACCGGGCACCGGAGCACCATTCTTCCTCGGCCTGAAATCTATCTAGTAATTGTGCTCTGTTTTGTATGTTTTCCAGTAGACGCCCCCACCCACCGACATCCGAGACAACCATCAGTTGCCCGATGTCTCCAACCGAAAGTGCCTTTTTCTCTTTGTTTCAGTGTAAAAATAATTACTGTCAGTTTTGTAACATCTTGTAGTTAGAAATGTATTTCCTTGAAGAATTTTGTTGCTGGTACTTCCCACAAAATATATCCATTATTTTAATTTACTTGGAGAAATGTTGAACAATTTATTTGCCTATAATTGCTCTGAAGTGTGTATTTTTTGAAAGATGCAGTATGTGGTTGAGTAAAATTTTAATTGGGGCAAGTAAAAGTATATACTAGTAACTAGTATATCATTTTGTCCTTACAAGTTCCAACAAACAATGTGAATTTAGCGGAATTGGCAAAAGACAATGGGGTTGGCTGGTATTTTGGGCTAAAAATAAAATTAGCCAAATTGTGAGGGCCTCACTGTAATGTCCTAGTCCAGAAATTCCAGAAAACAATCCAAGTTGCAAGAACAATTCAGAGTTGTCATTGAATAATCTAGGCTATAACTCTCAGAGTCTCAGGGGACATAAAAGGAGTTGTACTTTTATGCAATGAACATTCTATATTCTAACCAATGATAAAAAAAATTAAAAAAAAAAAGCAAACAAGCGAAAGCATATCACCTCCTTGCGAATTTTATGAGCTATTTATAAATTAACCATCTATATAGTGTCACAAACATGAACAAAATGAGTGAAGAAGTGCAGAAAAGAACATGCAGTGTCCCACTCACTAATCAGCAGCCATGAATGGATCAGTTTCGCCAAGTTCAGCAACCAGTGGTTCCAAATCTTCGGGATTTTCGTCTTCAGGGGTAAAATAGGTAGGAAAGGGAAGAATAGATACATCTGGTTTCTTGAAATTTGCATCTTTTATGAAAACAAAGTTCCCTTCAGCACCTGGAACCTAGAAAACACGTCCAAGTACAACATATTAAAAAAATGCTGAGAGAAACCAGTCTGAAATTACAAGCCTCTCACTAAGTAAACAGTATTTCTAATTCTTACAAGTGTCCTTTTTCAGAACTTGGAAAATGCAACAACAACCAAGCCTTATTCCCATAAGATACAAAAAACCAGTTTTCAAGGATACAAAAAGTAAATATGCAGCAAACTATAGGAGAAACAGTTTTCCTGTAGATTTTTCGCTAAAAAAATGATCAGAAGGACCGAATTAGCCATTTAGAAATCCATATAGTCAAGGTCCAAAGATGAAAATGACCTACTCCATATAATCCATTAACCTCAAGTGGCAAGAAATCCACAACCCGTAGACCAAAGGTGAAAAATGTCTAATAATCATCGTACCAAAAGGGCATATGTTCTTTTCTACAAATAAACACCTAATATATATTCATAATTCACGCGTGCTATTCCATAATATAGCCTCACAACTAAAAATGCATCAACATTGAGACATCAACATATAAGAACTCGTAGTCGAATAATTTGAATACAGATATAATTCTTTGTTGACTAATTTACATTGATATTAATTTTGACGAACTTAAATGTAATTACATTTAGATTTGTATGAAAGACGTGCTACGAACTGAGGTAAAAAAGACAAGCTATACACTATTATTTTAATTCTTTGGTAAATCTGACATTTAATTCTTTTCTAATTATAATAGGAATATATTCAGATATAACAAACAAAGTGAATATGAATATAAAAAATGATTTGATTATTAAACGAATACGAATATGAATAATGATGTCAAGTTTGGCTGTACGATCATGGTTACTGTACATCCAAACTAGTTTTCCCATCCATGGTTACTGTACAATCACTCTTCATGAGACAAGTAAACCCGTTATTTTGGTTTCTAAATGTCTATATTGATAAATACATAAATATGAAAAAGAAATAATCACCATCAATCATACTCCGTTTAAAAGATGGCACTAAAAGCTCGTAGGCTACTCAGTATAAAACCTTACCTTCTGACAACTATTTTAGCAAAGGGATGAAGACGTAGACATGTAGAAAAACTTACTTGACCTCGAACCCACATCAAGTTTCTCGCTGGATCAATTTTGTAAACCCAAACATTTTTCACTGTTCTTTGCACTGCACCCATTCTCCCAGGCATTTTCTTGTTTTTGAATACCTGTTGAGAAAGAAAAGGAAAAATAAGCACATTACAAGACTACAAAATATTTGAAAAACAAAGGCAACAGAACTATGCAAATGGCACAATGATGTGATGTTATCATTACCCAAGACCCTATTAGGGTGGTTTGATGCTTTGAGTTTTTTATTTAAGAAAAACTAGAAAACAGATTTAGGAAACAAAATTTATGGTTTTAACTTTTAAGTATTTTGCTGGAAATTTACAAAACTACATGAGTAAAACGAGTTTGTATACTTTTAGTATATTGTACAAATTATATCACATAGCTTCTAAAATCATAAAACCAAATACTGAAAACTGGTAACCACCACCAACACACAACAGGGCCCAAGGTTTCTTGCAGTGGAGGTTTCATGTCCTATATTGCAATAATCCTGTTGCTTGCTTACGGTCTTACGACTTAGATCCTCATGGCTTTGCAATGTGGAATATGAACACGAAACTATATATAGATTGATGAGTATATTGTGCAAGTCTATCCTGATAAAAGTGCACTCCTCCTAAATAATAGTGGAGGTATCACATAAATATCACGAACACAGGAAAATTCTAGCTTCATATTCCATCCAAATTGAAAGAGGCGTGTTTGCGATTCTAAATCAGTAGAGAGAAAAGTTGATTTCTGACAAATTGTACTCCTTATGTGGTAGTAGGGATAGCTTCATGTAAGCCAAGGTGTCGAGAGATGATGTATTTGCTAAGAGTAATGTTACAGAGAAGATAGAGAATTCTTCTTACAAGTGTTTTTTATAACAGATTGAAAGTGATAATTTTTAGGTATAAGACCGACAGACACACATACAGATAAAAGGGCCCCACCATATATAGTGAATTTAGTAGTTGTTCGGTACAACAACTACGAGAGTAATATTAAAATATTTCAAAGTCAATATTAATTTTATAAATCACAACAACAATTTTAATTGAGTTAACGAAGTGTTAAAAAAACAGAAATACAAAAGAAACAATGGGAGGCAATAGCTTCAGTGAGCAACTACACTGAGAAGGTACAGTGAAGTCACCACTTGAGGAAAATACAATTTCATAAACACTTGTGGGGCGGTGGGGGTGGTTGGTTTCTATGAGATAGCTACAACACAAACACAAGGCCTAAATAGGAAAATGAGATAAC